ATATTCTGCAAAGACCAGGTAATTTTTGAAGACTTGGTGTTTTTGCCTTGTGGGTGTGTCTGAACATTACATGTAGCATATAGTGTATGAAATCTGCCTTATTTGGAGCAAACAGAACATGCAGACTTGATGGTCCGTGTTTCAGGACAGTGTTGATACAGCACAGGCTGATCACTCCAACTCCAGCTGAAGACGGAGTTTAAAGGAATCTGCTGAAAACACTCTGAGACACAAACCAGTCAGATGGGTTTGCAGAGTGTTGGGAAGCATTGAAATGGTTTCATAAACCAGTGTAGATGAAGTTTGTCCCAGCTGAACATGGATTGTGGGTTGGACTCTGTGTTGTCAGGTGGTCCGAGGCTACAGATGATGCGTGGTCCTCCAGTAGCACCTCCTTTGCCACGACCTCCTCCACCTCCACCCATGATGCTCCCTCCTTCCCTGCAGGGCCCAATGCCTCAGGGACCATCTCAGCCCATGGCTGCTCCACCTCAGGTTCACAAACACGAGTCTGTGTGCAGACTGCTTCATGTCTTACTGAGATCATGTAAAATGGACGAGCGCCACCTCGAACCCTCTCGTCCAAATTTGTCTCTTTCAGGTTGGTGATATGGTTTCGATGGTGTCAGGCCCACCTACGCGACAAGTAGCCACACTTCCTGTCAAACCAACACCGTCAATCATCCAGGCAGCACCAACTGTGTACGTTGCTCCTCCTGCCCATGTTGGACTAAAAAGAAATGAAGTTCACGCTCAGAGACAGGCCCGAATGGTATTTTGATCCGTGCATGAAGCACACATTTGTTTTACGCTGGATTCTTTCAGATGTACAGAACTTGTCGTTTCTGAGGCCTTGTGATCTGGGTGTTGCAGGAAGAACTGGCAGCGCGGGTGGCCGAGCAGCAGGCTGCAGTGATGGCTGCAGGTCTGCTCAGCAAGAAGGAGAGCGAGGACAGCGGCACGGTGATTGGACCTAGTATGCCGGAGCCTGAACCCCCCCAAACTGAGGTGGATTTCTGCAAAACACTATTTAGACTGAAGCCACGTAGCAGGCGACGTGCTGGGCAGTAACACTGCACGTACCGCTGTTTCAGGGGTTATATGCATTTTTAAAATACTGGTGAATGGAAAAGTTATTATAAAGTTAGAATTATAAATATTATTCTACAGCTAATTGCCTTCAACATCTAACATCGTGACCCAACCAATATGTGGGGACATTTATGAATTTGCACATTTACAAATGAGATATTTATTTATATGAAATTATGTGTAAATCGGTATCTGTCACAGATTTGGGAATTTCTCTTGTTTAAATTTACATTTTAGTGTTTTAGGTGCTGTTACAAATGATAAACAATTAACATAGAATGGTAAACAATATAAAACAATGTTTATAAGGTAAGTATTTAAAATCAAAATGCATACAATCAGAGTACATTTCAATGAAAATATTTAGAATATTACAGAAGTAGAAGTCAAATATTTGCTAATTATCAAAGCAAAACAAATTTTCAAAACACCTGGATACAAGCTGTTATTTAACAGGACCATGCTTTGCTGTTAGCGATAACGCTAGCTACCCACAGCACAGCATTAGTTTATTGTTATGGCCCTCTGGAGCTGCCGCTGCATTAACAGTGATGACTGAGTGCTTGTCTCAGACTGGATAGTGTGGAAAAGTAAATGTCTTCTTTTTAATAATTTTATTCAAAAAGGTAAACTTTCATATATTCATTAAATGTAAAGTAAAATATTTAACGATTTTTTATTTTTGTTGACTGTGGTTTATCAGCAGCATATCAGATTATTAGAATATATCATCTTTAATGCTGCTGGCTGTCCTGGTTGTCCAGATGATGCTTGACAACAGCAGTTTCTACCCAAAGTTAAACTTGGTGTGTGTGTGTGTGTGTGTGTGTGTGTCAGCATGTGGAAACTACTACTGAAGACAAAAAAAGGGCAAAATCGGAGAAGGTGAAGAAGTGTATCCGCACAGCAGCAGGGACGACCTGGGAGGACCAGAGTCTGCTGGAATGGGAATCAGGTGCAGCTCCACCAACTTCACTAACAGTAATAACAGAACAGAGAAAGCTCAGTGTCGTTGTTTTTTCAGTTGAGTGATGTTCTTCCATCAGTTGAATGCAGCTAAAGTAAATGCATTTAAAAAAAGGTGTGTTTCAGTAGCCATGGTGATTTTAGTTTTTCATGTGTAACATCAGCAGAATTGTCTCCATGTTGCAGATGACTTCCGTATTTTCTGTGGTGATCTTGGTAACGAGGTTAATGATGACATACTGGCCAGAGCCTTCAGCAGATACCCATCTTTCCTCAAAGCTAAGGTCGGGTCATTTGTCTGTTCATCTTTCTTTTTTTTCTTCCCCTAACAAAGACGATAACTGAGTTAAAAACCAATGACACGCTTTTAAAATAAGATTAAAATGTTATGGATAGATGAGATCAAATTAGAACAATTTAAGTTGTGTAGAACATGACGAATGTGGAAATGATTCAGTCAGAAGTAATCCTGTGTGGGCAGTGACCTCTGACATTTAGTTGTATTTTCATGAGAAATAAGCAGCAAAGTGCTTGGAAGGAAGCGACGAGCAGAGACGCCTCAGGTGAAGGAAAACGAGAAGCTCTGTAAACTGGAGCTCTGACCAGTAAAAACACAAACACCTGAGTAAGCCTCAGATTTCATCAACTATATTTAGTCGACTAAAACTACATAAATGTACGTTTCTAAATTATGATTGAAGCTAAATTAGATTTTAGTCAAGACACTCAAATGAAATCATATGCTGTCAAATTCAGTTGGATAGGATATCAATTCCCTGAACATTTAACACATACGCTGTAGGTAAACGATGTCTTCCATCTGGATTTATTAATATCTGGTAACAGATGAAAGCAGAGTTGGAGACTCCTCAGCTTCAAGCTGTAAACGGTTCATGTCGTCCTCCATGAAAGAGCCTTTATGGCAGCTTTCAAGAGGCAGTAAAAACCTTCATGTTTGTTGTTTGTGCCTCAAATGTAACAAAAACCTGAACTCAAGGTTGGCCCACTGATCTGGCAACCAGTGGATTTTCAGGGCAGGTGCACTGGTTTGACCTCTGACTGGGATTCTGCGAGGAGTTTGCAGAACCCCAAAATATTTTACTGTCATCTGCAACAAACTCCTGCTGTTGGTGCAAGGAGTGGCTGCACCTGCTCGCTCGGAGTCTGCCGTTTCCTCCCACAGCCCAAAGGCATGTTATTTAATTAGCAAATATTAGGGTGCGTTGGGTATAAAGTACTGTTAAAAATACAACTTCTCTGTGGAAGTGTCTCGTGTCACCGGTTGGCGGGTAACATGAAGTCATTACTAGGGCTGGGCCATATCATACCGTTCACGGTAACACCGGTATAATGTTGGGCAACGATAAGAAAATGAAATATGGCGATAGAATATGGGTAAAACGCGCATGCGCAGTGCCTTTGTTTTCATACGCACATGGCGGAAAAAGCATGGCAGCGAATGAGAAGAGCGAGAGCGGATCGTTGAATGAAACAGATGAACCAGAACTGGTTTGTAAAAATGCTGCAGCTTCACTGGTGTGGAACTGGTTTAGCTTTCGTCCGTCAGATACACAACAAAGCACTATTTTTGGTAGCGCATGCTAGCGGGCCGTCGTTATTACCGTGTTGTTTGGAAAATACGGCGCACTTAAAATCAATCCTTTGATTTTTCTGAAAGTCGACAGAGCCCCTTATAATCCCGTGTGCCTTATGTATGAACTCTGGTTGTGTTTACTGACCTCGAAACGATTTTATGTGCACGGCGCTCGAAAATCTGTCAAATGTTTCAGTACGACTTTGCTAAGCTACGAAGCCGCACCGCTTGATGGATTGTCGGAGCCTTTTGGTTAAACTGTCAGACAGGAACTTGCATTTGCACTGTTACATTTTTATATAACTTTAATGCACATAAACAGCTGCTTGTTTCAGTGAAAATACACTGATGGGTTTTTTGCACTAATAAGGTTGTGGAGTTGTAAAGTATTTTGTGTCAATTATATCGTCAGTTATATCGTCATCACAAATTTTCAAATGTATATCGTGATAAGTATTTTGGGTCACATCGCCCTGCTCTGATCATTACTGTGTGTCAGCAGGTGGTCAGGGACAAACGGACTGGAAAAACCAAAGGCTACGGTTTTGTGAGCTTCAAGGATCCAAATGACTACGTGAGAGCCATGAGAGAGATGAACGGTGAGTCTCCTCACACAGGCTCTCGCTACAGCTGTTGCTACAGGGCATTTGGTACCATCCTGGCACTCTTACAGTTCTTTCCCTCTGTTTGTCCAGGGAAGTACGTTGGTAGCCGTCCCATCAAACTGAGGAAGAGCATGTGGAAGGACCGCAACATTGAAGTGGTTCGCAAGAAACACAAAGAGAAGAAGAAACTGGGCCTCAGATAGTTTCCAGTTTGTGTGTGGCCTCAAGGCCAGACTGTGAGATCATGACCCGGTCCATGGACTCATAACTTTGTTTTCCTTCTAAAATAAAACCAATATTTTTAAGATGTTTGTTTTACGTGATGTGCTTACATTGTATCCCTACTGACTGCCATTGTGATCAGTTTATGTTGGACGAGGCAGTGGTTCCGTCTCCCTTTGGCTTGGAAAATTATTGGAGGGACTTTACAATAATGATTTGGTGCAATATACAATTGAACTGGAAGCCATGAGAGAAGGCTCTGCAGACCATGACAATTCAGGGCTGACGAAATAAAGAAAATCACTTCATAACCGCAGAAACACAGGCCTACGTCTGAATGTTTTAACATTGGCTCAATGAGAAGGCCTCAGCATGTGACATGGTTAACTGTCAGCATCTACAGGGAGAAGTAAAAGCTGTTACTTACTGTCATGGCAGGAATTTAAAGGCTGGATGCACATGCTGATTTTTGAGGGAAGAGCTTTATGACGGCGCTGCAGTAACAACTCGACTGGTGTATGTGCAGGTTACATCAGCTTATCTTTATCAGCAATTACATTCAATAAATGCAATGAAACAGAAACAAAGAAACTGCAAATCATGTCAGGTGGCAAGTTGGCCATTTAAAGTGAAACGTTCTCATATGTGTCGCCACAGACCATCCAATAAAAACAAAACCTGCACAACCTGAAGCAGCTGCGCGGTGACATTCAGGCGTGTTAACACAATCTTGAGTTACACAGGCAAAAATATAAAGTTTCAGATGCATCTTAGATTCAAACCGCTGCAGCTGACATCAGTGAGCGCACTTTTTCCAAACAACGTCAGATATGTCTGGATGATTCAAGGCATTACAGGTGGTAGAAGATTCAAGCCCACATGAATCCCATGATTCATAGCAACCAGCTTCATCATACTACAGTTCCCAACAACTCCTCCACAGCTGTCCGTCCACTGAAGATGACATCATTCACTGACACACCATCGTAACAGGAACCAGTCAAGGACAGGGCTAGGTTATTGTTCTTTATGAAGCCACGCATGGACTCTGGGAAGTAGACAAAATACCATTAAACGATTTGTCATCACACCTTGTTGATGTTTAATATTTAAACAGATTCATACTCACCAACTCTCTGAAAGTGTCCCTCATAATACTGAGGTATGCAGTCCTGTTGAAAAGATGATCAAATATAATTTATCTCTGTTAAAGTAACTCAAAGTGCAGTATTGGTATCTCTCAACCAGAGGCCTGGGAGGGTCCTGTGCAGGATCTCAGCAGTTCCTAAGACTGCGCTCTTATGCACACAGATCTGGGATGTTGTTCCCGGGATCTGCTGGAGCCACTCGCCTAGCTTGGGAGTCACTGCACCGAGTGCTCCGATTACCACTGGGACCACTATTACCTTCACCCTCCACATCTTCTCCAGCTCTTCTCTCAGTCCTTGGTACTTCTTGAGGTTTTTGTGTTCATTTTCTCTGATGTTGCTACCATTCGGTATAGCTACATCTACCACAGCTGACAGAACCTCTATGCTATGAACCCATACGCAAAGGTTCAAAGACTATCCAGCACATATTAGCAGGACATCCCAGTTATGCTGCAAACAGCTGATTGCAGTTCTTGCTGCCAATGGTGGCACAAACAGTCATTAGTTTTCAGGTGGAATGACTTCCTCCAGTCAAAGGCAGGAATGTTTGGATGGCCTTTTTCTTTAATAAATGAAATCGTTATTTCAAAACTGCAGTTTGTATCTGTTCGTCTGAAACATGTTTACATGACGATATGCAAAAAGTTATTGTCCTTCAGAAATAGGAAGAGATCCCGCCATGATGACATCCGACTGAGAGATCATCTGACTCCTCGTGTGGCAGTCGTGTGTGTGTGTGCGTGTGTGTGAGGTGTGAGAGCGTGTGGTGGTGCGTGTGTGCGTGTGTGTGGGTGCGTGTGTGCGTGTGTGCGTGGTGTGTGCTGTGTGCGCGTGGCGTGTGTGTGTGTGTGTGCGTGTGTGTCGTGTGCGTGTGTGTGCGTCGCGTGCGTGTGTGCGTGCGCGTGTGCGTGTGTGTGGTGTGTGCGCGTGTGGTGCGTGTGTGTGTGTGTGTGTGCGTGTGTGTGCGTGTGCGTGCGTGTGCGTGCGTGCGTGTGTGTGCGTGCGTGTGAGATATAATATGTGGGGTCATACCCTGTGCAGAATCACTCGACTCCAGCTGGGTGCCGCAGTGACTCCGAGGTGGCAGCGCACCGCCTCAGTGGCTCTTGATAAGAGACGCTCCGCTGTTGCAGCTTCTGGAACCCCAAACTCCTCCTCGAACCAAGCCCCGCCCATCATTACCTAGGAAACATGATAAAAGATATGACAGATAATCACATGTGAAATGAGTGGAAGTGTTGTTGTCATTATAAAAGCCGAGTTCTTCAAATACTATGAAGATATGCTTCAGTGCTTCCTGTAGTACACCCCCCCCCATTAGCACAGGATACTCCAAAGCAGTGTGGTGTGCAGAACAAGTTCATGTAAATTCATATTCTCATTCTAAGTTAACGAATCCAGTCAATCTTCCACGTTCCTTAGATTACCATGAGCTGGATGAGAACCTGCACAGTTATACTTATAAACCGGTGATCAGGCATCCATCAGAGCAGTGTTTCCCAACCACTGTGCCATGGAAGACTATCTGGCTCCACCTGATTAGTACTGTAAGCAATCAGTGTGAGTAACAGTTACATTTTATTCCACTAGAGGGCAGCACAACCACCTGCTCTAAATGTGCTGCCAACTGCCAGTAAAACAGAAGAAGACGAAGAAGAAATGACATAATAGTCATGCTGTGAGACGTAATAGCAACAGATAAATGTCTGAAAAGAAAAAGTAGTGTAACAAGAAAAGACGACCATGATCACAAATCAGTATGAGCCACAGTGAAGATGCTGGCAGGCAACAAATCTTCCACAAGGCTGCATCGACCAACCGTTACACACAGAAACACACTGTGAGAGTGACGCAAGGTGTTGTTCGTCTGTACCGTCAGTCTAGTAGTCTGTCCATCTGGTCTGTTGTGCTGAGGGAAGGGAACAGAGTCATAGACCACCCCGAGCAACCCTCGGTCCTCCGATGACGGGACGAGGTGACCAAAACCCTGCCAACACACACACACGGACGCACACAGGTTTGAATAAGCTTGTGTGCAGTCTGTCTGATGCTCTTTTCTCCAGGAATCAGAAAAGAAGTCAGTGTTTGCACTGGAGGCTTCAGTGGCTCACAGAATGAAAGCGATGCTTCAATATAGTTTGTTTTTACAACAGTGAAAATCTTCTTGTATCTGGTCATCTCAAAATTCAAAGAAGTGTTTTTTGTGCTCTCCTGTATTCTCACCATTACAGGCAAGATGGAGCCGTCATACTCCAGATTGACCACAGCTACTGTTACTGAGGAGATGTCCTGCAGCTGCTGGGTAAGAGGTTGGCAGGAGCGGGGCAGCACTGAAGAAAGAGCTGTGAACAGAGAAACAAGGGCTCGAGAAAGGAAACTTCTAATGTCATCCTTCAAATGATCCAGAACACTTGGTGTCACACAGGCAGGTTTTCGAAATGGGGTCGCCGTCGTCTTACTGGAGAACTTGAATGCTTACATGTTCATAAAATCGACCAGCAGTTGGAAACCATCCTGCCATTTAGTGCTAACTCAGCGGGTTCAGCTGCGACTGACGGCCTGAGAAACAGTGCGTCATTACCAACGTGTCATGATGTAAAACCAGCGAGCTCACCCATCAAAGCTGAGAGGAAGCATTCTTGTGCGTTTGAATTCAAAGGAGATGATGTTAAAATGGATGTGATGATAAATCTGAGTGAGACTAAGTGAAGTGTATCATATGTGACAGGGTTTCTACACTAAGAATGAAACAAGAAGAAAATGTCATGAAGTTACTTTGAAGTTTAAAGCTTAGCTCTGACAACAACAGTGATTGGGTGTCCAGAAAGAGACGCCAACGTTTATAACAAGCACCGCCCAGCACTGTGGACGTGTGACTGGATTTGTGATTTTTCCATGTTAGCGTAGAAATTCAGGAGGATTTGGATTTCTTCTGTTTGTGTCTACAAAACTACTTCCAAGCGCTCGACTCCTCGCCGACAGACTACATCCACATGTCCTGTGGATGTGGCGTGTCCTCTTCTTCTACCTCCCAGAGGCCAGAACAAAGTCCGCATTAGTTCACAGCAAGCTCGTTAAATAAGTATGATTGCTTCTGTGATTCGTACCATTTGATTCAGCTTTTGATCTTTTTAAAATGCTTTAATAAGATATTTGCATTCAAAAGGTCTAAATTGTGGACATTCCCTTTTAACCCTTTGTAAAACAATAAAGCTAACAATGAGTATTGAACTACATTTGTATAAATAGCTCTTACAGGTCACTCCAGTCTCCAGTTAACAGACCCTAGTGGGTCAGCTTCCCGAGCCACTAAACTAAACCTAGTCGTACTGCAAGAGCAGCGATCTACAGCGGCGCTGTCGCTGACGTTTCTGCGAGGCTGCTCGGGACCCTGGTTGTTGTCAAAGGCAGCGGGGTAGAGACCTGGAGGAGAGCGGCAGTCTGAACTGGTCGAGTTCCCTCACCCGTCGGCTGCATCTAAGTTTTGCAGCGGCTACTGAGGAAGAACCGAAGAGCAGAAATAGGACTTTTTAAGCTGACGGCCAATCCAGACTTCCTGTGTCGGGGGCTGGTCCCACAGAGCAACAATTTCAAGAGCACCTTTAGAAATACACGTAGGAAATGATTTTACCCACTGTACAGTCACAAGCCGTGGGTAGTGAGAGAAAGGATGATGTTACACAAAGCAGTGGAAATCCCTTACAGCTGTTCAGGGAAGCTCAGAGTGAAGCTGCACCATCAGTGCTTTACAATCATACTTGCCTTTAGCAGGCAGTGCAGAGATGATGTGGTCGGCTGATAGGACTCCATCCTCCAAACGGACCTGCAGACACACACACGCAGACACACACACGCAGACACACACACGCAGACACACACACGCAGACACACACACGCAGACACAGACACACACAGACACACACACCAGACACACCAGACACACACAACACACAGACACACACACCAGACACACACACCAGACACACACACGCAGACACAGACACACACACAGCACACACACGCAGACACACGCAGACACACACAGACACCAGACACACACACAGACACACACACGCAGACACACGCAGACACACCAGACACACACAGACAGAGACAGACAGACACCAGACACACACCAGACACACACCAGACACACACGCAGACACACACGCAGACACAGACCGCAGACAGACACGCAGACAGACACGCAGACACACGCAGACACACACAGACAACCAGCAGACACACACGCAGACACACACAGACACGCAGACAGACACAGACACACACAGACACACACGCAGACAGACACAGACAGACACAGACACACGCAGACAACACAGACACACACAGACACACACGCACAGACACACACAGACACACGCAGACACACACGCAGACACACACACACACGCACACACACCAACACAGACAGACACGCAGACACACGCAGACACACACAGACACACACGCAGACAGACACACACAGACACACACACAGACAGACACGCAGACAGACACAGAGACACACGCACACACACACACACCAGACACACCAGACACAACACACACACAGACACACACACACCAGACACACACAGACACACACAGACAGACACGCAGACAGACACGCAGACACACGCAGACACACACACAGACACACAGACACACGACAGACACAGACAGACACACACGCAGACACACCAGACACACCAGACACACACACAAGACACGACAGACACACACGCACAGACACAGACACAGACAGACACACACAGACACACACGCAGACAGACACGCAGACAGACACACGCAGACAGACACGCAGACACACACAGACAGACACACGCACACGCAGACAGACACGCAGACACACACAGACACACACGCAGACACGACAGACACACAGACACACACAGACACCAGACACACACAGACACACACGCAGACAGACACACACAGACACACACAGACACACACAGACACACACAGACAGACAGACACACACACACACAGACACACACAGACACACGACACAGACACACAGACAGACAACAGACAACAGACACAGACCAGATACACACACACACACAATGCTGAACAAGCAGACTAGAGTAGACCAGAGAATCACTATGCAGGTAGAGACACACGCAGACACACACGCAGACACACACGCAGACACACACAGACAGAGACACACACGCAGACACACACGCAGACAGACACACACAGCTTATCAAAGTCATCTTAGACTCTACGGCCTCTGAAATGTTGAACTGGAACAATCAAAGCAATACTTGTGTTAAATCTTGAATCAAAGCTCAAACTTTGCAGTCAATGACGTCTCGGTGACGTACAGAGGACCTCGCTGTATTTTCAATGAGGTTAACTTGTGTAGACCAAATAACAACATTACCACCCTGATGTTCAACCTGCTGGTGATGCAGAAATAAGAAGAGATTGATCTGAGCTCCCTTACAAAACCTCATGGCAGCACAGTCCAAGTTCACATCCTTCTTTCTTACGGTCGTTACTTCGGGAATTACACATTCAGGAAATGTGAAACCTTGCAAGAAGCAAACAAACTGCCATCCCCCGACACTACCATGTCTGATATGATGGTACCAACATAACACACCACTGCAAACCACCTAAGGTTTAGTTAAACGTCTTTAACCTCCGCACTAACCTGCCAACCAGAGGCTGAAGGATCAATCTGCTTAACAACAGCCTCTTTGTGAAGTTGCACTCTCCCACTCTGTTGTAGTTTCTCTGCAATGGCTTCTGGAAACGACTGCATGCCCCTCTTCAACGACCACTGTGCCCACGACTCCTTCTTAGATCTTTTAGCCAGAGGGCCGCGGGTAATCACCTGAGCCTCACCTGCAGGTTTCAAACATACAACCTTAGTCCTGCAATAAAGACAGCACACTTCACTGGTAGCACAGAGGAAAGTGAGACAGCCTGAAAACGCTGAATCCAAACAAATGATGACAGCACACAACAACCATCTGTTAGCATCAATGCAGGCAGAAAAATAGCCACGAAGAGCCAGCGTGTAGAACCAGAGCTCAAATCAATTATTTGATTTTATGAGGCTAAACACAGACATTTAATCGTGACAAACACGTCAGAAAGTCCTGGGAGTGATTTTAAGACCAACTGGAAGTGCAGTGCAGGTAAATGGTTACACGTACTGGGAAACTGTCAGAAATGGTCAGAGTGGAAGTGTTGGAGTGTACCTGAGCCCAGCAGCATTCCCAGGACGATGGAACCTCTGTGCTGCTCTGCGTTGTAGAGGACAGGAAAACAAGAGCGCACACTCAACTTCCTGCAGTCCCCTGCAAATACACCCCGACACAAGCTGTCCACAGCTATGTCTGCTAACTACACGCACGCACACACGCACGCACACGCACGCACACACACACACACACACACACACACACACGTCAGATTAACTGGTGGGGTCAAAGTTTTATTTGAAGATTTATTGATTTTTATTGTTACTGAGTTTTTTCTCTTCATGCTGGAACAGAAAGAACATTTCATCTGTTTTGTTATTAAAAATGTTTTTATTGTTATTTCATTGTTTCTTTCAGTGTGTGTGT